GAGACAGAATCTTGCTCTGTTGTTCCAGCTAGAGTGCAGTGGTGTGATCATAGCTCACAGCAGCCTTGAACTCCTGGGCTCAATCCTCCTGCCTCAGCCTCCTAAGTAGCTGGGACTACAGGGTCGTGCCACAGCTAATTTTCGTGTGCAGCTAATTTTTTCTATTTTTAGTAGAGGTGGGGTCTCCCTCTTGCTCAGACTGGTCTCAAGGTCTTGATCTCAAGTGATCCTCCCACCTCAGCCTCCCAGAATGCTAGGATTGATTACAGGCTTGATTACGCACCTGGCCTTAGATCATTTCCTTTAAATTTTTTTTTGTTGTTGTTGTTGTAATAATGATGTGACTAATATCTGAGCAAAAACCTCTTGTGTTTCTTTTGAGAAATTTCTTTAGAATAAGTTCCCAGGAATGGATGAAAGGATATAATTCTTTTATGATTATTGGCCAAATTCAAGGGAATGCTGCCATTTGTCAGGCATATCCTATCCTTGGAGCCTTCCTAACGTTTCGTTTTTAGCTCTTTTTGTTTTTCTTTCTTGCCTTTCTGTGTCCACATGCCCGTTGTTGTGGGTGGGCCCCTGCTTGGAGCCTTACCTGATGTGTTGCGCCCGGCCAGGTGGAGGAACATGTCGGCCGCATCCGGGAGGAGCTGGACCGTGAGCGGGAGGAGCGCAACTACTTCCAGCTGGAGCGGGACAAGATCCATACCTTCTGGGAGATCACACGGAGGCAGCTGGAAGAGAAGAAGGCCGAGCTGCGGAACAAAGACCGGGAGATGGAGGAGGCTGAGGAGAGGCACCAGGTGGAGATTAAGGTGAGTGGGACTGGCCACCTGTGTCCACTGGGTCATCATGCAGCAGCAAAGGAGCTGGACCGGATGGTGGGGTGGAGACAGGACATTTTCACTCCTTGCTTTGGGGGTCACAGCCTTTTGTGTCCTTTACATTGGGAACCCGAAGATGTTTTTATAAAAGGCCGAGGGAGAGACACTTCATCCCTCTGGTGTACGGAGAGACCCTGTGGGTCCCGAGTGTTTGAAATGCAGCCTCTGAAGTGTGGAAGGAGCACAGGCTCTGGGGGCAGGCTGCCCTGTGTGCAACCTCGCTCCGCCACTCGACATCCCCAGCAAGCCAGCATGTGCCTCACCTCCCAGTCTCGGTGTACTACTCTGTGCCTCGGGTGAGCAGGTGGGTGCAGGTGAGCTTTCCTGACCCTGCAGGTATACAAGCAGAAGGTGAAGCACCTGCTGTATGAGCACCAGAACAACCTGACAGAGATGAAGACTGAGGGTACCGTGGTCATGAAGCTGGCACAGAAGGAGCACCGCACGCAGGAGGGCATGCTGCGCAGGGACATGCGGGCGCTGAAGGTGGAGTTGAAGGAGCAGGAGCTGGCCAGCGAGGTGGTGGTGAAGAACCTGCGGCTGGTAGGTATGAGGGCAGGCGCCCAGGGTCGGCTGGCTGTTGAGGCCAGCCTGTTGCTCAGAGCCTAGTGATGCCCGAACTTCTTTTTTTTTTTTGAGACAGAGTCTCGCTGTCTCACCCAGGCTGGAGAGCAGTGGCATCATCGTAGCTCACTGCAGCCTCCAACTCCTGGGCTCCAGCGATCCTCGTGTCAGCCTCCAGAGTAGCTGGGACTTCAGGTGTGAACCACCACTTCTGGCTAATTTTTTCTATTTTTAGTGGAGATGAGGTCTTGCTCTTGCTCACTGCCTGAACTTCTGATTGTTCGACAGCAACTGGGAATTCATATTTTTGAGTAAAAACTCCTGCATTTTGCTATTTGTTAAAATATTTCTTTAAAATGCATCCAAACTAACCCCATTTTGAGGTCAAGTGTGGAATTCTGTCTTGACCTGAGCAACAGATTGATTTCCCCAAAGGAAAATCCATCTCAGAATCTTTTTTCATGTGCTGTTGACACCTGACATCCAAATACTTTTCCTAGGGGACAGTATCAGATGCATTTAGGACACAAACCAATCGTGGCAGCCCAGGCAGTCTGTTATGCAAGCTGGCCCATGAGTATCTGGTCGGGGGTTTCCAGGTAGAGATTGAAATTCACTTGCTGAGTGCGCATTCAGTGCCAGGCCCTGATCTGATCTCTGACACAGCGGCTGCCAGAGTGGGGCTGATGGTCTAGAAAGAGAGCAGGTAATGCAGAAGACAAGATGGATGTGTCGGGCATGCGCAGCATGTCTGGTGGGGAGGAGGGCTACAGGAAGAGCCAGGCGGGGAAAGGCTGAGCTGCCAGGAGTGGTTGAGGGTGCAGTTTTCTACAAGGCTTCTGGGAATGCTTCAGTCAGAAGGTCTGTGACCAAGCTGGGACACCCAGCCTAGGAGACGGGATGGGCGAGAGGCCGGAGGCTAGAGGAGCATGGAGTGAGGAGGCTGGGGAGACGTGTCAGAGCTTGGCCTCGAAAGCCACGGTGGGGACTGGGGCCTCAACCCGCGTGAGTCAGGTGCCCTCTGAGAACCTGGGCAGAGGAAGGAAGTGGCAGACTCTAGTTTCCAAAGGTGCTTTCTGGCTGCTGGGTTGGGCAGACAGAAGCAGCGCAGCCTCCGCGGAATTTGTAAAGAGCTCGATGACATTGTAGACTCTGCAGCAAACCATGAGGGTGCTGAAGTCTTGGAGCCTCCAGGGTTGTCTGATCTTTCTGGAGAAGCACAGAGTTATTGGTATCAAATGAATTCAGTGATAACGAGGCTGTCTGCTAACCTGGTCCCGGATATGGTATTGTTACCTGATCCGAGGTCTCCTTTGGGTAAAAGTGCTGCTCCAAAATAATTTCAAATTTTTATTCAAATTCTAACATAGAACTGTCTATTAAAGTAATTTTAAGCAACAGTGAAGTGAGTTAGGAGCTATAGGAGGCACCTGGGGAGACACAGCTCTGCGTACGCGTGGCTGCTGCTCTCTTGCTGTGGGAGGGCTGGGCCATTCAGTGCTCACGTCATCTACTAATGTTCTCTGGAGCTCAGAGGGGACTTCTGCTGCGGGAAGTGGGTTAGCAGATGTAGAGGTTTCCAAAACCACGTTATTCTACGCATGTCCCATAAACTTGGAGGTGAGGGAAACCCAGCAACTGGCTGCAGCAACCAGGATTTATCGGGCTGGATTTTTTTTTTTTTTTTTGCCCAGGCTAGAGTGAGTGCCATGGTGTCAGCCTCGCTCACAGCAACCTCAAACTCCTGGGCTCAAGCAATCCTACTGCCTCAGTCTCCCGAGTAGCTGGGACTACAGGCATGCGCCACCATGCCCGGCTAATTTTTTGTATATATATATTAGTTGGCCAATTAATTTCTTTCTATTTATAATAGAGACAGGGTCTCATTCTTGCTCAGGCTGGTTTCGAACTCCTGAGCTCAAAGGATCCGCCCGCCTCAGCCTAGAGAGCTAGGGTTACAGGCGTGAGCCACCGGGCCCGGCCCAGGCTGGATTTTTATAGCAGCAAGGACTAGTGTCAACCGGGGGGAGTGGGCTTCTCTGTGTCTGGCTGTCCGGTAACAGCCGCTCTCACCTTCACAGAAGCACACCGAGGAGATCACCAAGCTGCGGAACGACTTTGAGAGGCAAGTGCGAGGTCAGTGTTTCACATGCACATCATGGAGGATGGCGCCGGAGACCCCTCCCATCAGAAAGTAATTCACCCCCAGAGCTTGTTAATTCAGGGCGCATACACTGGATTAAAACAGCCCAAGCATGCAAAGATTAAGAGTGTGGGAGTTTCCAATGCCAGTGGACCCACTCAGAATCCCAGAAAGACTTATTTCCATGTGAGTTTGGGAGGCTGTGATTACCACGCACTTTCCCACTCCTGGCTAAAATTGGTAGTTAACAGCAGGTGGTAGTTATTTGGGGGCAGCATTCTTAGAATAGTCTTCTTTCTGACTCCTGGCCCGAGAAGGCTCCACTTGCAGAAGTTGGTCTGGTTTACTGCTGAAGCCCTAGAGTCTGTGGCTGGGTGGCCACGCAGCCCATGGTGCATCAGCCAACCTTCAGCTGTTGGGGCCCAGTGCAGGGACTGATTAGCGGTGCCTGTCACTAGCAGGGGCAGGCTGTGTGCGCTGAATACGTCATCTGGGCCCAGAGAAAACTCCACCTAAACCCGTCCTGTTCTCTGGTAGAGCTTGTTTGCACAGCCTTTGTTCTGACCTGACGTGTGTTCTCAGGCCCTGCTTACAGGTTCTTTCTGCTGTGGCCACAGGGGCACCTGTTCTTCCTCTGCTAAGCTGCTATGTTTGCTGCTGCCTTTTAGAAATTGAGGCCAAGTATGACAAGAAGATGAAGATGCTCAGGGACGAGCTAGACCTGCGGAGGAAGACCGAGATCCACGAGGTGGAGGAGAGGAAGAACTGCCAGATCAACACGCTGATGCAGCGCCACGAGGACGCCTTCACCGACATCAAGAACTACTACAACGACATCACCCTCAACAACCTGGCCCTCATCAACTCCCTCAAGGTGCTCCGTGGGGCTGGCGAGGGACACACACACTGTCTGTCCCACGATGTGGGGTCTCAGAGCCCAGGGGGTCTGGATACCAGTTCTCATGCCCGTTGTACCCAGCACTCCCACCTGACAGTGTCCCGCTACCGTCCTGCACTGAAATGTGTAAATAATGTAACCTGTGTGCACCTGTAACTGAAAACAATCACAGTACTTCCCTACCTGTAGTGCTGAGGGGGAAGTCGTGAAACGCGCTATGACGTGTGAATGAAATGCAGGTAGAATTGCAGCGAGGGTCATGCTGTGGCCCCAGGGCAGCAGGACTGGACGGCGTCACTGTTAGATGCAGTGACAGCGTTTTCCACAGTGGAGGCAGCCCTTGGCAGAATCCTGAACCAAGGGCAGTTTCTCAGGGCACGCAAGCTGCATTCCCAGAAAGAGCAGAGTAAGTTGAACGTGTGCAGCAGTGTCCCGGTGGCACGTAGAGCAGGTCTAGGCCCTGCGTGTGCGTGCGGCCGCAGGGCTTGTCTGGGGGCAGGAGCACACCAGCCCTCGCCTCACAGGCTGCAACCCCTTGGTTCTGCCCACCGAGCCCCTCCTGTGCCTGGGCCTGCAGGAGCAGATGGAGGACATGCGGAAGAAGGAAGACCGCCTGGAGCGGGAGATGGCAGAGGTGTCCATGCAGAACAAGCGCCTGGCGGAGCCTCTCCAGAAGGCTCGGGAGGAGATGAACGAGATGCAGAAGCAGCTTATGAACTACGAGAGAGACAAGCAGATCCTGGTCGTGAGTGTCCCGTGGGTCTGCCTCCCTCCTTGGCACATGCTCACTGGGCTCGGGACAGAGGGAACGTCCAGGGCGGGGCTCAGCCCTTAGGGCAGGAAGGGAGAGTCTGAAGTCTCTTTCTTTGAGTGTTGTCCTCCTGGGGAACCTAGAGCTGGTGAGTGTGTTGGAGACGAGGCCCTGACCTTGCACTGTGTCCCACCGGCCTGCCTCGGTGGGGCTCAGCTGCTGTGTCTTGAGCCAAGTCTTCTGGGCAATTACGTTTGGCCTTACTGTCCCCAGGAGCCTGTGTTACCTGGATGCTGTGACTCCTGAGTGCTCTCTCCCCCCACTCCCCACGTTCTCCCCAGCGCACGAAAGCACGTTTGAAAGTTGCCGAGAAGGAGCTGAAAGACCTGCAGTGGGAGCACGAGGTGCTGGAGCAGCGGTTCCTCAGGGTGAGCAGGTGGGACCCCTGGTGCCAGGGAGGGGGCTCTCCTGCGGCCTGGGCCCCGTAACCAGCTCTAGCAGGTGTGGATACCTTGACGAGGTTTGGGATTGAGAAGCTAGAGTTGCTATTCCCTGCTCCTCATTCCATGTCGCATTTGTGAGGCAAAAACCTGTGGCCCGTTGTGTCGAGAGCTTGCTGGCGGGCAGCAGATCACACCCACTTTCATCCCTTCAGAGATTCACCTCAGAACACATGGAGGAGGCCTAGCCCCTTGCAGCAACGACCTTTTCATTTATAAGTGTGTTTCTAAACATTAACGTATTCACGCTCATGGTGAAAAAGTCGAGGAAGCCTCAAGTGTGTGTTGTAAAAAGGAGCGTCTCCCTGCTGCCCAGCACTGGTTCTCACACGGGTGCCGGTTTTGTGAGCCTCCTTCCAGATTTCCTCCTGCATGCTCCAGAGTGGATGTGGTTGTGTGCCCTACAGCAGTGGGATCCTGCCATGAGCACAACCTGCTTTTTTTTGAGACAGAGTCTCACTCTGTTGCCCGGGCCAGAGTGCCGTGGTGTCAGCCTAGCTCACAGCAACCTCCAACTCCTGGGCTCAAGCGATCTTCCTGCCTCAGCCTCCCGAGTAGCTGGGACTACAGGCATTCGCCACCATGCCTGGCTAATTTATATATATATATATATATATTTTTTTTTTTTAGTTGTCGCCTAATTTTTCTCCCCTCCCCTCCCCTCCCCTCCCCTCCCCTCCCCTCCCTTCCCTTCCCTTCCAAGGTTTCTCATCTTTTTCTAGACAGAGTCTCGTTGTCTTGCGTAAGTTTAAAGTGGAGTGCCGTGGCGTCGCCTAGCCCACAGCAACCTCAGACTCCTGGGCTCAAGCGACCCTCCTGCCTCAGCCTCCTGAGTAGCTGGGACTACAGGCATGCGACACCATGCCCGGCTAATTTTTTCTATATATATTAGTTGGCCAATTAATTTCTTTCTGTTTATAGTAGAGACGGGGTCTCACTCTTGCTCAGGCTGGTTTTGAACTCCTGACCTTGAGCAATCCTCCCGCCTCAGCCTCCCAGAGTGCTAGGATTATAGGCGTGAGCCACTGCACCCGGCCTCTTTCTATTTTTAGTAGAGATGGGTCTCACTCTTGCTCAGTCAGGCTGGTCTCCAACTCCTGACCTTGAGTGATCCTCCCACCTCAGCCTCCTAGAGTGCTAGGATCACAGGTGTGAGTCACTGTGCCCACTCACAACTTACTTTTTCATCTCACAGTGTATCAGGTGCACACAGAAAGTGGCCTCACTCTTTTCAGCAGCCGCGAGGTTACTCCATCACATGAACGATCAGTTACTGACTTGCTGGTTCTCCTTGCTGACCATCTTTGTTTCCAGCCCTTTGCTGTTACAAGCATTGCTGCTTCAGTCATCCTTTTAAGTTCATCTTCATGCAGCTGTGTGAGATATCTTTTTTGGAAAGTTAGTTCCCAGCAGTGGATCGTGGGTCCAAAGGGTCTGTGCTCAGAATTCTGATAGTCTGCCCAGAGGGATGTGAGTTATGCTCCTGCCAGAGTGTCTGAAGGACACTCCTTCCTTGCCTGCACCGGATCTGACAACTTTAAACCTTTGCTGATGTGACCGTGTGGAAAACAGCTCACTTAAGGTGCATTTCCAAGATTCCTAGTGAGCGGTAGAGTTGCTTGGTCCTGTCTCTGTCCTTGAAGACACCCTCCCTGCCTCTGTGCAGTTTCAAAGACGTGGCCAGGGGCTGGTGCCTGCACACAGGGCACTTGGGGCTTTGTCTGTGGTGTGCGTGGCCACAGCATTCCATCTGAGAGCTGCAGCTGTGTGCGCTGTTTTCTCTTCTCACCTAGTTGAAATTCATGGACACAGACTGCAGTAATGGGCTTGGCCCCGTCTCCCCCAGAGCAGGGTCTTCAGCAGCATCCTGTGGGTGTAGCAGATTGAGACTCACTTTCAGACACTCAGAGCCCCGCAGGCCATGGATACTGAGCTCTGCCAGCTGTCAGCTGTGGCCCTGCACAGACAGCCGAGGGAAGGGCCGATAGGGTAGCCAGGGAGACCCCGAGTCCTGTGGTGTTAGACTAGGACCCTCTTCTCCCTCCTGTTGGCTTTGAGGTGGGCACTAGTGGGACAGGGAGAGCAGAGAGGTGCCTGGTTGGAGCCTGTGTTCTCCGCCACATTTTCCTCCCTTTGAATGTGGTTCCTGATATGGGCCAGTGTCGGTGTCAGTTTCTTAGAGAACTGAGAGCTCAAATTTGTCAGCAAAACAGAGACCAAAGGCACTTACAATCTGCATGTTTACGAACAGGGAATTGGACTTAAGCAAATCCACGGAGTTCTGTACAACAGTTAGAAAGGATGTGAAGGTGCTCCGGGATACACTGTATCATGGGATGTGCCATGAAAAAAGCTGCCGTGTTTTAGCATGATCCTATTCTCTTCCAAACCATAATAAATATTTTCACATGTGTAGAGAACATTCTGGAAGGAATCACACCAAATGTTCACAATGATGGCTTCTGGGAATTAGGGTTAAGGGGGTGTCCACTTTTTACCATTCAGTAAAGTCTAGATTTTTACAACGCACAATTAACAAGTAGAAGAGTCAGGCGATGGCAGAGTAGGTTTCACCAGCTGGCAGGCAGTGGGCTTCAGGGCTGTGCTCCAGACCTGCCGTTTGTGGGGCAGGCACACCGACAGCTCATGGGATTCTAGGGTCTGGGGCTGGCTGAGGGAGTGGATCCTCCCAGGGCTGCCCCCACCCTGCAGACGCTGCCTGCTGGCCGTACAGTGCCCTGGATCTCCTGTGGGACAGCCAGGGACAGGCTGAGTCCACAGCCCTCACTCAGGGCAAAGCTGGCCTCGACCCAGCTATGGAGCAGCTTTCTCGGGGAGCTCTTCCCAGCACACACTGTGGCTTCCAGAAGCACCTTCCCAGGAGGAGGGCTCACGCCAATGTTTCCCTCCTGCCTCCCTCCCAGTGTGGATGTTTGCACAGAGGGGAGGGGTTCAGGCAGTGTGGATGACATGTGAGAGGGGTGTGGGCAGTGTGGACGACATGTGGGAGGGGTGTGGGCAGTCTGGACGACACGTGCACTCACATGCCTGTGGGCGCTAGTGGCAGGTGACCCTCACACAGAAGCAGCATGTTCCAGGCAGGGCAGAGGTGGCTTCTCCCCAGCGAGATGTCCCAGGAGAGGGGCCTCACCACCCACCCCAGCGCCCCTCCCGCCGCAGGTGCAGCAGGAACGGGATGACCTCTACCGGAAGTTCACCTCAGCCATCCAGGAGGTGCAGCAGAAGACGGGCTTCAAGAACCTGGTGCTGGAGCGCAAGTTGCAGGCGCTGAGTGCCGCCGTGGAGAAGAGGGAGGTGCAGTTCAACGAGGTGCTGGCGGCTTCCAACCTGGACCCCTCAGCCCTGACGCTGGTGTCCCGCAAGCTCGAGGTAGGCCCCGGGCAGGCTCCTGCCTCAGGAGGTGGCCCCAGCCTGAGGGGGGACCCATCAGCTGTGCACTGTGTCTCCTAGGACAGGCACAGAGACCCCTTGGTTAGCCACGGGGGCGCAGAGTGGGGGTGCCTCTCAGTTGTCTGCACGGGCAGTTTCCACTCTTCAGTTTTGCTTGAATCTCTCTTGAGTCTTTCCTGGCTCCTCCATAACCTCATGGCACCTCAGGACCCCTTAGCCTCTGCCCACTCCAGCTTCCCAACCTGGCTCATTGGAGCTCCTCAGGTGCAAGTCATCCATGCACAGCATGAGGAGGGGCTTGGGAGTGGAAGAGCCGCTCTTGGAACCTCTGTGGGCCTGAGCTCAGTTTGACGACTGACCCAGACACGGGCCTAGGAGAGGCCACGTCTCCTGAGTGCTATGCCTGGGGCCCTGCCCTGTCCCGGGACAGAAACAGCACCGGGAGGCCACTGAGATGCGCTGGTTTAGGACAGACGGTTACGATAGGGAAAGTGTAGGGCCGGGTGAGCCTGAGGGCCCTGACCCAGTGTTTGTGGGTGCCAGGGGATGTGAGGTCTGAGCAGAGCCCAGAACATTCCGTCTTCTGTTTCCACCATTGTTTGTGTTGGTACTCTGTTGGGGTCGTCCTGGTAGGGGACAACAGCAAACAGCAGGTGAGGCCTCGGCTCCCACGGGCCATCTGGGGTGACAGGGCATGTGGTCACCTAGAGAGTCAGGAGCCCGGAGTCTCTGACAGAACCTCACAGGTGGTCTCTTACTGTGTGTCGAGCTTCTGGAGCCGGGCCCGGTCCTCCCGCTGCCTGGACCTGGTTGGGGGGCGTCAGAGGAGGAACAGATGCAGGATTGGGGTATCTTTACTGACACTGGAATCCAGCCAGCTGGGGTTAGTGGGAGCTGTCAGGCCCGTGTCTCCCTTGGGGCCCTCGGATGCGGACGGCACATGCCCTGGGCCCAGCTGCTGCCCCTATGTTGGGACAGCTGGTCCTGAAGCCTCCACCAACAGGCCCGGTGCAGCGAGGCTGGCTCACCCCAGACATGGAGCCTCCCGGGGCCGCAGGGCACCTGTCTCTGCTGTTTGTGGCAGACTCATCCTGCAGAGCAGCAGACTTCTGGGCTGTAGGCTTGAGGCTTCTACAACTGTCTATAGAAGTTATTTTTTATCCTGAGAAATATCTCAAGCAGCATTTCTAAGGTGAATTGTTGGCACACAATTCAACAGGACATAAATGCTGTCTCACATCACCGACTCCAGGCCCAGTGGATTGTGGATTGGCTACTGTCTAGTCAGTCACCTCATCCCTAAAACACTACCCCTGGGCTCTTTCCTCTGCCCAGGCCCCTACCCACGTGTCCACCTGTCTTCCACCTGAGACCTGAGCAATGAACTCTAGCTGAGCTGTCCTGTCCCCAGGTGTTGGGGTGCAGGGCTGAAGCTGAGGGGGCTGTTCTGAAAGGCTGGTCAGCTGTGCCCATGAGTTTATGGCCAGCTGGGAACCGTGGAAGGTTCTGGGCAGGGAGGACTGGATCAGAGAGTGCCCGACTGTTCTGCCACAGATGGGGATGCAGGGCAGGTGGGGGCTGGTATAGGGTGGGAAAGAGCAGAGGGTTCAAGACCCCTTAGGAGGCTGAGTCAACAGGATTTGAGCTGATTGAGGAGGGGATGGGAGGGGCTAAGATGATGACATGGCCCCGCTTCTGGCCAAGGGCACTGGGTATCTGCACACACGGGCACTGATGGGGGAGTGTCGGGTCCTGGTCCAGTGGGCAGCAGTGCCCGTGGGACCCTGGGTTGCCCGGGATAGGCCGGCTCTCAAGGCCTAAAGTAGTGAAGCCACCCGGGAGGGGCCTCGTCTGGGACTGGAGGCTCATCCTTGTCACTCAGCGCTGGGCCCTGACCAGGGCAGGGCCAGCACCCATGAGCACAGGCAGCGAGGGGGTGAGGTCCTGCTGCTGGACAGTGGGGGAGGGACGTTCCACCTCTCCTGGAGAGGGCGAGCTGGCTCGGAGCAAACCAAGCTACCATTGTGAGGTGATAAACCAACGGTGGCCCACGGTGGTCACTGCAGTGGGGCCGAGCCACCAGGGTGCCATTGGCACTCAGTATGGGTCATGGTTACGGATGAGGAAAGTGCCTTCATGGGGAAGTGGCAGAGGCCTCTGCAGGGATGTTTCCCAGGCCAGGCAGGCGGGGGTTTGGGAGGCTTCTCTGCACTGTGGTCAGCTGGCAGCAGCGATGGCTCCAGTGCCAGGCTGGGCCCAGCAGTGCCCCTCAGACCAGAGCCTTGGAAGCCTCGCCCTGTGGCCAGACCCATACCCACATCTGGGTGGGGCCAACACTGCTAAAGTCTTAAAAGGTCTAAAAAAAAAGAATTGTTTTCTGCTAAAAGAAAACTGAGGCTAGGTACAGTGATCTGTAGTCCTAGCACTTTGGGAGGCTGAGGCAGGAGGATGGTTTGAGCCCAGGAGTTGGAGGCTGCAGTGAGCTATGATGGCGCCACTGCATTTCCACCTGGTCCACAGAGTGAGACCCTGTCTCTCTTTTTTTTTTTTTTTGAGACAGAGTCTCGCTTTGTTGCCTAGGCTAGAGTGAGTGCCGTGGCGTCAGCTTAGCTCACAGCAACCTCAAACTCCTGGGCTCAGGCAATCCTCCTGCCTCAGCCTCCCGAGTAGCTGGGACTACAGGCATGCGCCACCATGCCCGGCTAATTTTTTCTATATATATTAGTTGGCCAATTAATTTCTTTCTATTTATAGTAGAGATGGGGTCTCGCTCTTGTTCAGGCTAGTTTCGAACTCCTGACCTTGAGCAATCCTCCCGCCTCGGCCTCCCAGAGTGCTAGGATTACAGGCGTGAGCCACCGCACCTGGCCGAGACCCTGTCTCTTAAAAAAAAAGTATAATACACTCACCTAGTGTAAGAAATTTAAGTAATTGTGAATGTGTGTAGCTACCAGTCTCCACAGTGGTTAGCACACTGCCTGCTCCACCCACCTTCATGGGTCTCAGCGGTTTCTTTGTGGAGATGCAGGTTCTGCAGGTGCATCCTCCTGTTTCTCCCTTTCTCCTTCTTTGTCTTCTCTGGATCTTGGAGATCTTTTGCTGTGGACACACCCCTGTGTGCATGTGTACATGGTCCACCGGACTGCTGTTCCCTGGACTTCTGAGGACCCCTCAGGGCGCCCAGATCACCACCCAGTCCGTCTGCTCTCTCCTCAGGACGTGCTGGAGTCGAAGAACAGCACCATCAAGGACCTGCAGTATGAGCTGGCCCGGGTCTGCAAGGTACGATATGCCCCTTGCCCCTGCCTCAGGGCTGTCCCCGTGCCCAGCTTCCCCCAGCTGCCACCTCGAGGACTCCACCTGTCTCTACTTTACATCTCACTTGACAGGGCAGGTGTCACTGTCCCATGTGCTCTGAGGCACATCGCTGCTGCCCAGGCCATATGTCTCCTGGGATTGATGGGGGGTGACCTGGACCCCTCCCCAGGCAGCGCCCCACCCTGGGTGAAGAAGCAGAGTAGTCGGTGCTGTGCCCAGCAGGGCAGGTGATCGATGCTGCTCAACAGGGGCCGGGAGGGCATGATGAACCTGAATGAGAAACGCCCGGCCAGCAGCCAGAGCCCACCCAGAACACAGCTTAGCTCCGAGTCCCTAACCCTGCCTCAGTGCCCCTGCTTGCCAAAGAGGAATAGTGGCAGCATCTCCCGAGTCAACACACATAAAGACGCTCGGCGCTGGGGCTGCACAGAGCAAACAGCCGACAGACGCTGGCGTTCCTCCTTGCGCCCTGCCGCTCACTGCCCCGCCCTGCCTGCCCCTCCTGGAGGCTGAACCCCCACGTGTCGCCACAGGGCCCTGGGTCCGGGGGACCTTCTTTCCTCCCTGACGCCACCCTGTCCCCACAGGCCCACAACGACCTGCTGCGCACGTACGAGGCGAAGCTGCTGGCCTTCGGGGTCCCCCTGGACAATGTGGGCTTCAAGCCCTTGGAGACAGCCGTGGTCGGGCAGACGCTGGGCCAGGGCCCTGCGGGACTCGTGGGCACCCCCACGTAGCCCCCTGCCCAGGGGCTGAGGCCTGCAGAGCCAGCCGGGACCACCCTCCCCATGAGACCCGCTTCATACACCAAGGACAGCAAGTTTATGTTTCTTAGATTCTGTCGTCAGCAAATGAAGGCTTTTCACGTTTGCTTGCTGTCCTCTTGCTGTCTGTGGAGGAGCCTCCCTCCGTGGTGCCTCCACGCAGGGCGCCCTGTCCGTGCCACGGCTGCTCCCTCCCAGCCCTGCCCCCACCACAGCAACGGCACCTCTGAGAACCCCTCGCTCCCACGCGGCCACGGCAGCTTTGCAGGTGCCACTGTGGACTTTATTGACACCCGAGTACAGCTGCCCACTGGGGCAGTGCAGAGGGCCCGGAACCTTCTCCAGGAAGTGGGTGATGCTACTGCTCCACAGTGAGCACAAAGCCCACCCTAGTGAGGGCCTAGTGGGCAGCTCAGCCACAGAGAGGGAAGGAGCAGACGGCGTCCCCTGTGCCAGGCTTGGCTCTAGCTCCCTCGGTAGGTGGTGTAGGACCAGGGGCTCAGCAGCAAAGGCACATGGAACTTCTGGCTCTCATTTGTGATGGTGAAAACAACCTTAGAGACAGAGAGAGGCAACCTTAGAGGATAAGGGCCTGAGGTACATGACCTGTTGGGCCTGCGTTCTCCCAGGGAAAATCTGGCAGCCCAGGCTGTGGGGCTGGAGTCAAGGGAGGAGCAGAAGTCCTCCCATGGTGGAGAACTGGAAACTTCCTGAAGGCGAAGGGTGGGGGTGAATCCTCCCCACTGAGGGACAGCTCCAGGGAGGCCTGGGCTGCTAGCATGTCCACAACCTGGGCAGGTCCATGCTTTGACGGCAGCTCCAGGTGAAGGGGGAGGCACAGAGGTTAGGACCAGTGAGCTGGAGTCTGGGCTCTCATGACATCTGTCTACAAAGGGGGATCAGTCACCCTCAGCCTGGCCTCCCTACAAAGCCTGACCCAGGGGCAGGTCAGGGACTGGCGTGTCCCCATAAACTATGATGATGCCTAGACCTTTCTTCTGGAGCTCACCTACCTGCCATCGCCCTGGGAGAGGTAGGAGGGGCAGGACCAGTCTGCCCACTGCCTGGAGGAGGCCTGGCCAGCAGGACCTGGCCTGTGGGTCACAGTGAGTCACTGCCCTGCCCGTGGGCCTCACCTCCACATATGGGTAGAAGCTCTCCTGTCCCCTCTTCCTCCAGTAGGCCTCTGTGTCAAAGGAGAGCTTGTAGGTGCCTGCCTTCATCTGGGCTTGGGTCAGGAGCCCGGGGCAGCGGCCATCCAGGTCTGTGCAGCTGGGGAGAGGATGGGGCCACAGAGATGGGGTGAGGAGCCACCCCCACCCCAGTATCCCAGACACTTCCCACAGCCACACTCAGACTTGGGTGAGCAGACACCCAGGGGGACTGTGTTCAAGGCCTGCGGTCCTGGAGCAGCCCTGGGCCCCACTGCACTGTCTTTTTAGGAAATCACAATACAGAGAAGCAAAAAGGGGAAATATCTCCCATAATGTACCCCATGAGCAAGAACCACTTTATATCTGGCATATATTTTTCTAGATTTTCTTCTACGCATATTTACAAACTTTAAAACAAATCATAAAATGGATTATACTATTCATACTGTTCTATAACTTGTGTTTTCCATTTGGTGTATCGTATGTGGTTTTCTGGCTCAATCACTGTTCCAAACCCTCACCCACAGGGTGGCCTGTTGCCACCTGCCCGGAGGGAGTGATCCCTCGGTAGGGATCCCAAGGCTGTGGCTTTGCTCTCAGGCACCACCAGAAAAACCTGCCATTTTTCTGACCAGAAACAGCCAGTGTGTGGGGCGGGGGGGTGGGGGGTGTGATGAGAGCTGGGTCCACATGACTCTCCATGGGATTCCTGCGCAACACAGGACTTCCCAGCTGCTCAGAGGGGATCCGGACACCTGGCACCTCTGCCTTTGTGAAGGGCTGAAGGAGCCACAGCCACACCCTGGCTGGCGGAGACCCCCAGAGGGCGCTGGCCCCTTCCAAGATGGAGGGTCTGGGAACGCGCTCACAAGGCCATCCAATGGCCACAAGGCCCTGGCCTGAGTGCCACCCCTCCCACTGCACAGCCTGTGCCGGGGGCAGAGGGCAAGTGCCCACATCAAGTGAGGGTGAAGAGCATAGTGCCTGACAGGTTTGGCTGGGAATCCCTGCTTTTACCTTGTGTCTTGCTGCCTCAGTCTTGCCATCTGTGAGAGGGGTGACGGCAGTGCCTGCCCACAGGTGTGTGGGTGTGTGGAGAATACAGCAAAGTGCTTATTAGCATGTGCCTGGCATAAGGTCACCTGTTAACTGGATTCCACCTCGGGCCTTAACTCACCTAGCCCTAGGCTTGGCTTTCAAGGAGAGGTAGAAACCTGCTCCCACCCCAAGCAGGATAGGGGGGGAAGCCGGAAGAAACCCGGGAAAACCCAAAACGGAAAAAACCTGGAAAAAACCGAAGGAAAAACCGCCCTCAACAACCCCGGAATTTCAACGGAAGAAAAAAGAACCGAAAAGCAAGAAGGAAGGGCCAAGAACGGAAACCCAACAAGGGGCAACCGGCAACCCCGCCCCTCAACCCCCAAGGCCCGGCCCCCCCGCCGGCCGGGAACAATCTCAGGATGGGGCTTTAGAAGGATTCCCACCCTGCCCCAGGCCCCCTGCCCCACCCTACCTTGTCCTTAGCTCCGTCCACTGCTGGCCATGGTCCTCCAGTCGGTACAAACGCAGGCAGAGGCCCTGGGCGGGGAGCCCCGACGCGGTGTCCAGGACGTGTGTGGTCAGCAAGCTGCTGGCTGCCTCCATGACACTGCCCTGGCCACAGAGACGGGCAGGGGTGAGCTCCTGGGGTCTGTGCCACCCAGCCCAACCTATGTCCACACCAGCTGCGATGTGAGTAAACAGGACAGAGTCCTCTCACCCAAACCGCCCAGGGGACGGGCCGGGTCCACGGCTGCTGGAACTGCTGAGTCTGCACGACGAGGCAACAAGTTCCTCAACGACTGACCTGTGTCCGCCTCATTCTCTCCCGCTCCCCCACCCGCTCCCCTCCCACTGGGGACGCCGACCCTCCCCATCACCCAGCCCCTCAGTCCCAGCCGGTGGGCGCTGGGGCCTGGGGTGCCCAGAGGGGCCCCTGTTCTCGCGGAACCGGCTCTCCCCTCCACAGCCCCGGTTCATGGGTCCTCGGAGCTCAGCCCTCCAGGCAGACCGGGGGACAGGAACCCTGCAGGCCTACGCCTTTCCCCAAACCTCCAACCTCCGGGGGGCCCAGGTGTCGCTGGAGCGTCAGCAGCCGCGGGGCGGCCCGGGAGCCCATGCCCGCCCTGCCGGACTGCTCGACGCCCGCGGGGCGGGGGCGAGGGCGAGAGCGAGGCGGGGCGGGGCGGGGCCGCGGACAGGGGCGGGGCCGTGAGCGGGGGCGGGGCCGCGAACGGGGCGGGGCCGGGGCGGGGGCGTGGCCGCGGGCACCGCTGAGGTCGCTCTACCCTCGTGCCCGACCCCGCGTCCGACCGAACCTGCGGGACCGCCCTTCAGTCCCTCCGGGCGCCTCTGGCGGGGGAGCCATCTCGCCGTCCGCCGGGAGGGCCGGAGCGGGCTTTGCCCAGGAGCTGGCCAGGTGGATGACGGGGTCGCACAGACCTCGGGTAGCGGCGAAGGCTCCTCCGCGCCCGGAAGTGGAGTCGCGGCACCTGCGGAGGGGGGCGGGGCGCGATGGGGGGCGGGGCGGGCAGCTGCAGGTGAGACCAGCCCAGGTTGCAGGGCGCTCGGGCCCATCTCCCCTGAGGGGCTCAGAGACCGGCTGGATTTTGATAGAAAACCTGCGGGGCAAGGACGGTTTTCCGGTTTTTACAGTCCCGACGTGCCATGTGACCTTGCCTCAGTTTCTTCGTCTGTGAAATGGGAGCAGTAACTCCTAAGGCTGTTGACATGGTTCCACAGGTTAAGGGGATGCTCTCTGAGCTGTCGTTCTCGGGATTTCGCTACCTGTCCCCTCCATACCTTCCCCTGCCCTCACCCCGACCCCCGTGGGGTACACCCGGTAGAAGGTGGTGTTATGTTGAATGTGAGAAAAACAAGTGGTAGAGATGCGTGCACTGGCGTGAATCTGTCGTTATATTAAAATTATATAGCGTAGAGAACAAAATCAGGATATATATTGTGTAATATATAAATAAAATAAGGGTATTCCATATTTAAAATCTAGAAAGCTCTACACCGCAATGCTGGTTTACTGGTTGTCTTGCTCTGGGATATGGAAACTTCCTTCTGCTTGCCAAGTTACATTCTCTAATCATTTGATAGTGAGCATGGGTTATCTGCAGGTTGAAGATCAGGCCTCTCCGAGGCAAGGGAAGGAGACCCTCTCGGCAAAGGTCCAGAGTGTTCTGGTTACAACCAGGAAACATCCAGTCGTGACCTAAGTATCCATGACATTTGGCGTGGCTTCTGTCAGTAGGAGATAACTCCAAAGAAATGCTCACACCTGTTACGGCAAACACCCATGGGTGCCAGAGACCAGAAACAAGCAGCCTGGCCCCACTGGGAGCCAGTGAAATAAGTGAGCTCAGTCACACACCAGGGTGCTCTGTACCCCTTTAAAAAGAATGAGGCCCATTTGTGCATAAGATGAGCAGTCTCCTGGAAACAGCAACTAGTAACAAGGCACAAAACTGCGTGTAAAAAGGAGGAAGGCTTGTAAATTTATATATAGCTCTTGCTGTGTTACAGAGATAGCTCACTTAATCCCTGGAACAACCTCTTGACGTATGCATTATTATCACCATCTTACAGAGGAGAAAACTAAGGTACAGGGAGGGCAGTACTGGAGTATTTTCTGATAGGGCACATAAAACCAACGCCAGTGACTAGCTCCCCAGATAAACGGTTAGGGACTGAGGGCTCTTGAGGGCTCTTTAACCTTTTGTACTTGTAGAATTTCTAACATGGGTTTGTGTCACTTTTTCAAAAGTCTCAAATGTTATAAGTAAACTGACAGAAACAACAAACAAAGCTTTTTATAGCAATGCTCTTTAACTGCCCCCTTCTCCAGAGATCTGAAACTGTGCTGGAAGGGGGACCTAGTGGCTTGGGAAGGAAGCATGGGCCAGCA